TTGCAAAACGGGTGTCAGCCGCCTGGCGAGATCCCAGGGACGACAGAGCGGAGAGATCATTTAGGGAATGCGGGGCTGCTGAGGAATGGGTGCCGTGGAAAAGGGTGTTGTGGGGAGAAATAAGGACAGAAATAAGAACAGCAAGACAGATCAAACGGCCAACGGGAAGAAGAAGACCCAAGAGGTACAGGCGCAAGGCTACCTTGACCCAGGGGGGGTTTCTGGCTCTCAAATGACCACTTGGAGCCAGATAATTATAATTGCAGAAGCGTAAAGGGGTCCGCGGTGGGTGGGGGTTGGCGTCCTGTGCACTCGTTCATTACAGGACATTTAGCATCAGTCCTGGCCTCGGCCACTAAATGCTAATAACATCTGACTGGGGGTGACAGCCCAAACTGTCTCCAGATATTGTCACCTGGCCCCAGGGAACAAAAATCTGTCAGGCACTGCCTCAACTGATTCATCCTGCTTAGATATATATATATATATATATATATATATATATATATATATCCCTTTTCATGAATACACAGAGAGATGCCTTTTAAAAATCCAAGTTAATCTTCATGGGCTCTTCCAGCTCAAAAAAAAAAAAAAAAACTGGAGATGACCTTCCACAGTGTTACACATGGAAGCTGTTCATTGCAATTTTTTTTAGAGGTGGGTCATTGTGGATGGCAATTCTAATCCAAATCAGCTCATTCTCCCACCATCCTCACTAATGCTTTCCTGCCAATCTGGCCTCTGGGAATCCTTTGGGACTACGCCGCTTCTTCCCCGCAGCATAATTTCGAAAGTCATGTTAGTTTTTCCAAGCTAATGATTCCCTCTCATCTTCGTTTTGCTTTCTCAGAGCTCGCCCATGCACTTCTAGAATGTTCTTGCTTCAAACAACAGAAACCAAACAGAAGAAGGGATGTTGGGATAGACGCAAAAAAAGGGGACCCAGGCACTCTGCAGGGGGCATGGGGTGGTAGCACCACACATATAAAATAACAATTTTTGTTTTATCGTTAAAAGTAAATCACTTTTTTTAAAAAAAAAAAATCTTTAGCCTGGGACAAGGTCTGTCTTGAATCTGGTCTCGTGGGCATTTCAGACTATTTCCCTGCCACAAAGTTCACCAGCCTCCCCCAAAATATTTCTTCTTTCTCCTGTTCCCCATAGGAAAAGACTTATAGCTCAAGTGGGAAGAAGAATCAAAAAACCTCTGGTGTGCGAAGAGAAAATCTGTTGTACTTTATCTCCATTTTTGGAGGGGCTCAAAACTGGTCCTCATTTAAAAAAAAGGACAAATAGTGATTATCTATAAAGACAAAATATCACCGTTAGAATTATTTCCGGATCTTCACATTCCTGTGTGCCAACAGACCCACCTCCAAGTAAAGCTCAGGAGCTGACCCAGGGGTTTGGGTGCATTTGGGGTGAAAAGAAAAGAACAGAGAAATATCATGTTCCTGCGACAAGCCTGAACACAGGCGCCTTCCCCTACAACCACCCACAAGGCTTTACCTTTATTCAATTAAGGCAACGGAGAAACGGAGAAATGTAGTGTCATGTAGAAACGCTTTAGACGGGGGCCTGGAAAATGGCTCAGAAGCCTGGAGCACACACGCTTGTTCCCTGCAGGAGTCACAGATTCTACTGCCAGCACCGCACAGACTCCCAAGCCCTGCTGGTGTGACCCCCAACCCAAGACTAAAGAAACTGAATTAAAGCTCTGTGACTCCGAAAAAGGTTGCCTTGAAAAGACTGCGCCCAAATCTTTCTTAATGCTTTGGCTCAAGCATCTTCTCAGGAAGAAAAAGGGAAAGGGGGGACGGGGGGGAGTGGGTATTGATTCTTCTCAGAACTATCACAGAGATGAGAAAATACTTTTTCCCACAATTTGAGAGCTGGAAGTTTCCAGGAAGAAAGCTTCAAACGAGACATTTTTTTTCTAAACAAAAAACTAATAAAAAAAAAAAAAAGTAGCTCCCTGCACCCCAACCCCTACCCACGGCCCCCTTTCTGCCTTTCTTACAGGTGGCAGAAAATAAATTCTTGATCAATAGATCAATAGGCATTTGTTCAGGTTACAGGGAGGGCTGCCAATCAGGGCCCACCAGAGACAGGAAATGAAGTACCACTAGACCCTAGTATTCATCTGCCCTTCGCTTCCAGGGATCCAGGCAGAATAAATGGGAGTGAAATGACGATGTGAGAAAAACACCACAGTGAAAATATAAAATCCTGTGCCGTATGGGAAGAAAGTTTAAAAAAAAAAAATCTTCTGTGAAACAGTGTAAGAAAAGCAAATAGGAGTGCCTCGCCAAAATAAGCTTTATTAAAATTCAATTAAAAATAATAAAACTTCAAAGATAAGAAAGTTTACCATAACACATTGATCTTCTTGGCTTCTTAATGAAAATGGTCTGCAATTTTGTTTGAATATTTAAACTTCACTATCTAATTATATATTCCATCAACCTAACCCAATTAAATTATTATCGAAGTGCTACATGGGAAACCACTGAGATGTCCGCAGACCCTTTTACCGGGACTAATTGCATCTTGATTGGTCAGAGTATAAGGCATGAATGAGCCTTTCCCATTTCCTCGAAGATGGTGGGCATCATCGCAAACTCCAGTCCCACTCTCTATGTTTCAAGCAAACTGGAGCTAGCTGAGCACTTCATCTAAAGCAGAAATATGACAGGCCATTTTTCAAGCCCCTTACTAGAGAGGTGCAATCCTTAAGGCCCAAAGAGGTGCAATTATATGTTGAAGTTCCCATAGTTGGTGAAAACAAGAAGCCGAATGAGAAATTCCTGTCATTTTCCGCTCTCATGTGAAACAGCTAAGCAGTCCAAAAGGGGGGTAAAAAAAAAAAAGACCATGTACTAAGCATCAACTGGTAATAGACGGGTTTAATGCTCATAGCAGAGACACTTTGGAAGATCATACAACAATAAGCTCCTTGCTGTATGTAAATTTCAGAAGCAGCACAGATGGGAAGCACTTGACTCTATCTTGGATTAAAATGTACTCACATATTTTTATGAATAAGTATATACTTTAAGCTTTTAAAAACAGTGCTTTTACCACCCCCCCCCCCCAAAAAAAAAATAGTATCTGTGCTGTTTTGAATGTTGCCTTTTTGCAGTTGATTGCTTTCAACCTTTTTCTTAACCAGCACATAGGGAACTATGTGACTATATGGGGGTCTGCTGGAGGCACCGTAATTCATCCACCCAGTGCCCCAGAATAGGCATTTGGACTGCTTCCAGATTTCTACCATTACAAAAATATTCAGTGAACAACATTCTTTTCTCTGTGAGTCGTAGTCGTAGCAATGACAACAAGGATACAGAGGGACACATGGGAGAATAAAATCAAGAGAAATAAAATGCCCAATCTACACAACATAGAATTATCGGAGGTTTTGATTTTTCCACCTTACCTACTTCTAGGCTATCTTCGCAGTTTTGGTCAGTGAAGTTATCAGGAATAAGTGCTATATGTTAATGCAGAAACTACGAATAACATAGGACACCCAATGCTGGCCACAGTTTGACACACAACTTTTATATCCACAGGAGACAGAATAATTTTCTATTATAATTATAATGGATTTCGAAAGAAGCTGGCCTGAGAAATGGATGGAGAACCCTCAAGAACTATTTCTCTTGGGTGGAAAAAGTAGGGCTCAGATTTTGGACAACTAAGAACCCCATCACTTAGAATCTATCTGGGAGACAAAAATGGCCGAGATTAGTACCAGGAATTTTGCTCCATGGCTTGGAGGCCAGCCACACATGCTAGGGGAAAAGGCAGCTCAGATAGAGAAGGGAGCACCAAATAAAGGGTGTTGGGAGGATCCTCCCACGATGGGAGAAGCATGCTGAAAGTAGACTATAGATCAAACATGATTGCCACTCAATGCGTCTCTTGCAAACCACAGGACCCAAAAGGAGAGAGAGAGAACAAAAGGGAATGCCCTGCAACAGAGGCAGGGTGGGATGGGGGGATGGGGGTGGGAGGGATACTGGGATCCATGGTGGTGGGAAATGGGCACTGATGGAGGGATGGGTACTCGATCATTGTATAATTGAAACCCAAGCACAAAATTTGTAAGTCTACAACTGTACCTCATGGTGTCTCACTAATAAAAATTTAAAAATAAAATAAAAAGAATCTATCTGGGGGAAAGGTGCTGCATCTGAGTTGGCGCAGGTGCCCCCCCCCCCCTCCATCTCCGGGCCCAGGTTCCTGGAGCCTTCTCAGGATGGGGGCAGGTCAAGACTTCGCTCTGCCAAAAGGCCCACACCCAACTTCCACCAACATATCAATGTTCCAAGGAAATACTATGCTGCTAAATCAATCCAGTTCCAAGACTCCTAGAAATTTGACTGTACTGACAGCACAGCTGGAGCACTGACACTAAGATGAGAAAGTTGTATAGAAGCCAATTAAGCTCAATGGGAGAAAACAATCACAAAGAAGGCTCAGCTAGACCTACCAGCTCGGTAAACCCTCAGACAATGGCTTTAGTGACACCATTATGAGGTATCTGTTGTAAAAAAAGCAATATAACGTAAACTTTTCTGTGCCTGCTAAGGAGGCAGGCTGGGGGTTGGGGGAAGGTTGTCAGGCGAGGGTGTCCCCAAGTAATGTCCCCAAGTAACTGGGGACACTGGTGGAGAGAAGGTCACAAGGGGGCAGGACTGGGTGTTGGAACACTAAATACTTTAAACAACTGTATTACGAACAACTTTGTAATCATAACATTTAAATAAAGTTTCAAGAATTTAAAAAAAAACAAAATCAAGAGTGGAAAGAGAATAACATAGTGTGTTAATAAGCACAAAGCCAAAATGAACATGGTTGAATCCACATTCAGGACACCTGGAGTTTCAACATACGTGAACGGTGAGCATGATTACAACCATTCCTCTCCACGAATACTCCAAATCATGACACTCCCCCACACCCAAAATCTCAGGCTCCTAGAAACTCACCGTTTCTGGTTTTCGGATTCTCTCTTGGCTTTCTCCAATGCCAGCTCCTCGGCTACTCTTCTTTTCAGCTCTTCATCAGAAACTAGAATCAATAACGACAAAGGAGAGGAAATAAGTGACTTCTTGAGAAACGAGGCCAAAAAAGGACTCGGGAAAAACAGGGCTGAGAAGCAGACGGTAATGGGCGCAGTTCGGCCAGCTGGTCAGCGTGTCGCCTTCAAGCTCCCAGCGCTGTGGAAGAGAGCAATTAGTGCGCTTCAGGAGTAATTTAATCAAGAGTTCCCTGGTGACCCAGAAATTTCCACACCTGCCAAAATTTATAATAAACTCAAGGAACTGCCTACTGTCCAGCGGGGACTGAGCCATTAAGTTCAAATTCTTTCCAGTGATGTCCTATCATTAAACGCCTGACAGTCACATTACAAGGGGAGCGAGGGCCGAGGGATGGGACATGAACACAAAATGATCTCAGGCCCATAACGAGACCTTTCCTACAGCCATTCATTACTGACAGATCATTCTGCATGTAAGTTTGGATGTTCATGATTTACGAAAGCGTTTTTGAAGCCTTGTTTTTAGAAAACCCGGCATTCAGATGCAAGTGCCAACAAGTGGAGACAAACAAGGCATGGTGCAAAGAATGTGTGGCGCTCCCTAAATTCCTGGTGACATGAGTTAGAACATCTGGTCTTTCCAAGGAGGTACTGTGTAGTTTCTAAACAGTTTCACACCTACAAGAAGGAAGAAAACAAATCCTACACACTACCCCAAGGTCCTCCCGTAAGAGATAAACAGAGACTATGTCCTCTTCACTAGAAACACGTGAAACCGAAGTTGGGCAGAGGTGAGTTCTGCCCAGTCTTTTATTCAAGTCATCTATAAAGAGGGGGGAGAGGAGGGGTGGAGAGATAGTACAGCAGATAAGATGTTTGCCTTGCATGCAGCAGACCCAGGTTGGATCCCCAACATTCCATATGGTCCCCCAACTTCTGCCTGGAGTAATTCCTGAGTGGAGAGTCAGGAGTAACCCCTGAGCATTACAAGGGTATGACCACCAAAAAAAAGGAGGGAGAAGGTGGGATTAGAGAGAGGGTTAAGGTACTAGCCTAGTATGTAGCCAACCCAGATCCAATCCCTGGCATCCATCATGGCTCTTCCGAATATCACCAGGGGTCACTCCTGAGCACAGAGCCAGGAGCACACCCCTAAGCACTACCAGTTATGGCCCCAAGACAAGCAGAAAGAAAAAAAAAAGTGGGGGAAGAATCTTCTAGAAGTGAATCAACCTTTCAGCCCCATGCTGAGATTATCCTACCTAAGGCTGTAGGAGAAAATACACAACTTCTACAAGAATCCAAAGAGGCTATTGGTCTGTGTGTGCAAAAATGCAGTGAAGGGGTCTGGAGACTCGGACCCCCACAGCCTCATGGCTTCCACCTTTCTGAGGGAGGGGGGCTGTGGAAACCGGATTCTGGCCACTTACTGGGGCATGCTCAGTGTGGAGAACCCTGACCCTGTTTCACTTTCCTCCCCATTGAACCCAAAATATAAATTAACTTACACACCCCTTACTGCATAATTAGAGACTAATATAGTACCTGTGATATTATGGGCAAGCAGACACTCCTGGTTAATGGCTGCAAGTGAAACCTTTGGCGGCCCCAATGATATTTCTCTAGTCCCGAATCCTTACGCACAGCCCTGAGCTCAGGCCCTAGGAACCCCTGCCCCAAACTCGGTGGGTGTGGCTGGAATCTCTTCTGGGGTGCCTGGGGTGTGTCTCTTTCGTAAACCCCTGCTTAATATCTACACGATCTGGTCCTTGAATTCTTTCTCCCATGGAGACTAAACAAAAACCTCTTTTCTTGGGTAAGCCCATTCTCACGGTTTTCTTTTCTGGACCCCAAAGAGCTAACTCGCATCTTTACCGAAGTTCCAGGGCACCCTTGAGATTCGAGGTGGCAGGGGTAACTCCCAGCCTGAGAAACCCAAGTGGACAAACATGTGGCCGAAAGAGAGTGACCAGAAACTGCTTATACTGAGCTGAAACTCACCAGGGTCTTCCCTCATTTCCCTTGAGGTCCAGGGATGAGCAGGTGCTCGGCCAATCCAGCTCTATCCTGTGGCATTCCCAGATCTGCTCGCCAGAAACACGTCTTTCAGAACGACCTATGACAACTCTTATGACTGTCATCACTTGTTCTGCTCTGCCTAACAGTTGAACCATTTCCTGCATTCCTCTTTTCAGGTAATAATCTCAAAATCCAAACGCATATTTTCCCCTAGCTAAGCAAGAATCTTGGGAATTGCTAAGAGCCCCTGAAAAAGACAAGCACTTGGACTGGAAAGATAGTACAGCAGGTAGGACATTAACCTTGCAAGTGGCTGACCTAAGTTTGATCCCGGCACCCCAGGTGGTCCTCGAGCCCCACCAGAAATGATCCCTGGAAACAGACCCAGGAGTTAGTCCAGAGCACCTCTGGGTGTGGCCCCAAAACCAAAATAAACAAAAAGTACTCTGTCTCTTCTATCAGAGAGGAATGTCAATTTTTCCCTCTCAGAATAAGTGTGCATTTGGCTAAGCAAAATTTCTGTTCTCTTCTCCCTCCGGGCAGCCCTACATTTTCAACTCCAAAATTAAAGTTCTCCTTCCATGGAAGCAGTGTTGATCTTTTGTTTCAGTTAATATCCTTTACCCGAATTATGCTCAAGAAAGCACTGAGAATCACTTGGCAAGACCTAACACATTTCAAACGGTTGAGTCCATTAGATAAAAAGCAAGAGGGGTCTCGGGAAGGATACTTGGATGCTCCTGATAGCATAAAAACCTTGCCTGAGGGAATGTGCAAAAAGTGAATTTCGGTAGGATATGCAAAACCATGTCTAAAATATAGCTGGTATTGGATGATAAAAAAAACAATAATGAGGTCTTAAAGACTATCAGAAAACAACAGCTGCATCAGAGAGCATCATCCTGAATGTAAGAGACAATCAATTGGGAGAAAATGTGGGCACATCCTATGGCTGACCAGGGACCTGACCCAGATATACAATGAAACTTGACAACGAAGAAAGGCACAATCTACTTTCAAGCATGCGAAACGATAACAACAGGCATTTCTCTAAGGAAGACACAAAGGGCCAAAAACATAAACACATGAAAAAAAGTTCAACCCAACACCATGAGTCATTAGGGAAATGCCACTCAAAATTGCCATGACACACCAATTCAAACCCGCGATCATCATGAGAGCAAGCCTTGGTACAAGTACAGAGTACCAAGAGCCTGCTTATGACTACTGAGGGGTGTGTGCAACAGTGGGACCTCTGTGAAGGCTCTGGCGGTGCCTCAGAATGCTAAACGGAGTTGCTCTATGACCTGACAATTTTACTCTTAAGTTCCAGGTAGACGCAAGAAAAATTTAAAGCACATGTTTACACACCAACACACACATACACACACACACACACAAATCATACATGAATATGTATAGGAGCGTGATGCACAAAAGCCCCAAGGAGAAGGCAACGGAAATGCTCATCAATGGATGAACAGACAACAGAATGTGACGTGTCCGGATATTCTGCACAAAAAAGTGATCTGGTGGAGAAAGTTAGGGCTGAAAGATGTGACTCCATGGGTGAACTTTGTTAAAACACTGGGTGAAGTGAAAGAAGCCAAACACAAAAGGTATGTATGTCTCTGAGCTTACTGAATGTCTGGAAGATGCGAACTGAATGGCAGAAGACATGGGTCACAATGGCGCCAGTGACTCTGCACATTGTCTCCTGAAACCACTGAACAGGAGATGCCGCGTGAATGTTATGTTACATGTATCCCTACACAGCTGTTTGCTTTTGCAAAAAGAAAGAAAAATATATATATATATAAAAAATATATAAAATATATAAAAAATATACATATATATATATAAAATGAGTGGACAAGGAATCAGAGGAAAGAAGACATACTAGTTAGAGTCTAGGAGAATTCAGGGGTGTTTCTAACCTCTCTGAGCAGGAGTTTTTTCCCAAGAAGTTGTTCTCGAATGTTCCTCCAGGAACATTCGAACGGAACATTCGAACTAGAAAAGACGCAGCTATTAGTCCACTCCAAGTCTGTGGCATGAGAAAGATTCAAGTCTCAGCTTTGAGAAGGTCACACAAAATCAAGAAAGGAATGAAAATGGAGAATTCTGGATGCACTCAAGCAAATCTGAAGTTAAAGCACAGAGCAGCTGAGAAACTTAACAGCCAGAGATGAGCAGAGTCAGGGCAGTCTTGCTCTTCCTGGTGCTGGACGCTGGCTAGGTGGGCGATCTTCCTGAGTTTTAATTCCCCTATCCCAAAATAGGATGGGCTGGGATACACAGCCATCTGCGGGCCATGAACTTCAAGAATATGGACTCCACAAGGGAAAAATTTCCACATTCTCATCTACTTCTGACAACTGTGCAAAACAATATGAAACTTTCATTTTCCAAGTTCTTCATAACCAGGGGCTTTATTGGTAGGAAAATAACGACAACGACAAAACTGGCTTCTATTGATACTAACTGATCAAACTATTCACTACAGTTTAACATGCCAGTCAGGATCAATACACAGCGAAGCAGTATGCGGAAGAAAAAAAAAATCAGTCCTCCTACCACTTTCTGTAGATTGTTTCGAATTACCGTAAGCAAAATTTGTCTCGGGCCAAATTCCAATGCTCAATCAAATTCCAACAGAATTTCACTCACGCAATTACAAGGCTTTGAGAAGACCTCAGGACACCAGGTCCAAGAAAGCAGCTGAGGGAGCGGATCTAAGTCTCATCTCCTCACACTGCATTTATGTTATGCCTGTAACATTTGATGCTTCCTACCAAGGGGAACGCCTGCCATCAACAGCATGAACTCTCTGATGCAGGGAACCACGAAAGAGAACAAACTCTGAGCCTAAGTGGAGGTCCATCATTCTCAGTTCTGCCACCTGCCAGGAGGTGAATCAGAAAATGCATGAAGAACCCGGAGGGACAGCAATGAGAGTGGGACAAGAGAGGAAGTGGACAAGGAGACTGCCCCTGGCAATACAATGGGA